CCTTAACACATAGGGGGGAAAAAACGGGCCTGGATACAATAAGCACATTTTTTCCTCTCATTTTGAAACATGAACAAAACTCCAATAAGTAACCTAAAAATAGCAGCTCAAACAACCTATTTCGCAAATGTTTAGTTCTAACACAGAAGGAGAAGATATTTTATATTTCAAACCATGCATTTCTAGACGTATTTAAGTGTGAGATTACAGGAGGTAGACATATCCAAGTTACCTCGTCACAGTCCCCCTCCACCATGGCATAGATGGCCTTTTTCACCAGATTAGTACCTGAAAAAGAGACAAGTCCAGATGAGAAGCTAGTTAATCTCACAAAGGATCTACATKAGAATATAAGGCTTAGGTGTCTTCACAGGTCAAGACTATTTGAACACTTTAAGCCCTCACCAATGCTTTTCCTTCTGTGTTTGGAGTCAACAGCCAGCATGGCGATGTAGCCGCGACGGAACATCTTCTTATGCATGTCTAGCTTGCATACGATGGCTCCAACACACTCCTGCTCCACCATGGCCTGCCACAAGACACACACGTTCAACCTCTGAGTGTCAACCGGAGGAAGCCGCAGAAAGCTGAGCTACRGTCCTTGACATCCTGTCAGATCTGCTGACTCCCTGTGCTGCCCTTTGACCTTCGTTTTATCATGTCTCATGTGGCCTTCAACAGCAGCTGGGGCTGGGGTTCTTACATAAGCTGACAGGCAAATAACTTTGCACTCATGTTTTAATAACTGTTTAATCCATATAACAGAAAAAAAACTAGATATCCCCGATGAAGTAAAGTAAGAATAATATAAGTTAAAATAGTAAGGAGTGTAGATTTGTGAGAATTAAGTGAGCCAAACCTGTGCTTGTCTGACTACCTGTGATCTGACAGGAGAGATAAAAACACGGGTATGAAGCCACACCCAGCCCAAATACACACGATGAGCAACTTTAGTTCACACAGATTCTCACTGGAGAGTTTAAGGGTTAATTTCCTCTCAGTAGTACTCACCAGGAAGCAAAGCTGCGGCCAGTTGTGGATGAAGTACCTGTACGTGTAAATTGAATAAGGCTCAGACAAGTCCTTGGTGATTAATCTCATGATCCAGGGCATCTGCAGCTCGGACTCGTAGCGGACGTAGCGGATGCCGTGGCTGTCTCCTTCAGCCCGGCCGGGGGAGCAGCTCAGGTCGAGCCGGKCCAGCTCCGCGGCCGGCGGCTGCGGTTCGGCGGGACTCGCCTCTCCGTCGGGCCCGCTGTCACCGTCCGGCGGCTCGTCGCTCGGCGGTCTCGGGGGCTGCGTGTGGTCGAACAGTTCCTCCCCCTCGCGAGCCGCGTCAGTCCTCGTTAAACCCGGCATGCCGTTCAAGCTGCTGTTGTTCAGGAGAGGAGAGTGGCTGCCGTTTTTGGCAAAGGGGCCTTCGTGTTGGCAATGCTCGGTGCTGTTCCTAGCGGCCGCAGTGCCCTCGCTGCCGCTGTCACAGTTGTCCACGGGCGATCTGAGATTGTCAGGCCGGCTTCCTTCCTGCTGGTGGCTGTCGGGGTCTTCTGAAGGGCTGGCTAAGCCGTTCAGCTGCTGCTGCTGCTCTCGGGCTTGCATTTTCAGGTGCAGCGCCGCTGGGCTAGCTTGAGCTAGCATGTTTTTCCGTTTCTTCTTGACCGACCCTTTGACCTCGTTCATCGGCTGTGACTTTTTCACAGACCCGGCTGGAATGCAGTCCTCCCCGTGCCGGATGGGCTCCCCGTCTTCCACCGCCGGCTCCGCGCTCCCTGCCCCGGGGAAAGGAGAAATTTCAGCCGGGGATGAAGGCAGTGCGTTACCAGGCCCAGGCGGCACTGTGGCCATCCCACTGCATTAAAGCGGAGGTTCACTCTTGTAAAACGTTGAACACGATTTCATCAAAAAAGCGAAACGTTACACAACATCTATATATACAAAAGTATGCCGAATATTGTCAATATCCGAGGACTTTTGAGGCCGTAATGTATCCGCTGGCGACGTTTGTCACTGCTTTCTCCTCGATTTGCCTGTTGCCGCAAAGCGCTGTCGCAGCAAATGTGATTGCAACACAAAAAGGCATTTTACGACACCAAAGCGGATCGCCATAACAACGGACGCATGAGAGTTTTCGGAAATCAGCAACATTTCAGTAACATGCCAGATCGAGCAGATCACTTTTCGACACATGTGTACAGT